ATTGGCCTTACCCTAAAGCCCATATATATATATATTCTAGTCCACATGATTGCTCTTGGATGGCCCATCAATAGCCCAATCACCAAAGCCCAATAGAAAGGCCCAACTCAAGGCCCAAACAAAATTAGGGTTTTCACATAAAATGACGGTTAGGGTTAAGTGTTTCTCACTTAACCCATTAAGGACTTAACCCATTAAGTCCATCACTCCACTAGGCGATTCACACAATGAAGTCGGACATAATTCACGATATCAATCTAACAGTCCAAGTGCGGGTCCCGGTAAAATCCAAACTAACAAACCCAAAATTAGGGTATTCTAAACCCTAATTAGGGTTTCTAGCCCAATCACAAAGCAGCCCAGTCCAAGATTAAGTGTTTAGGTCCATTAGGGTTCCATTAGATTGGGTACCACCCACTGCCACCTCGGGCGGTGGTGGTCGGTGGCGGCGCACGGTGGTAGGGGTTTTTCGACCATACAAACACCCATTCAACCTCATAATTTCTGAAATCAGCAATTACACTCAAACACAAACCCATAAACACACCCACAGCCACCTCCCACGGTGGCTGGTGGTGGAGAGATATGGCAGAAATGACAGCCACCATGGTTGGCTGCCATGGTGGTGCGCTTAATCCTCCGACCAACAATTATCACGAGTCCAGCAACTTCACACAAACAAAATACGACGATAAACATAGCTATCAGCCACCACTTGAAGGCTGGCAGCGCCAAAGGCGACGGTACTGGCGGTTGAGGCCGACAGCGGCAGCTGGGGCGTACCCACGTCACACACACGCCGGAAGAATGAAAGAGGAGGAAGAAATCAGATCGCAGCTAGCTTACCAAGGGTTTTCGGTCGTCCATGACTCAACAACAGCGTTCACGGCTGCGCCTGAGGGTCTCGGTGGCTCTTTCCGGCGTCTCACCCGTCTCCGGCAGTAGGGATATTCGATGGCGTCCGGTGGCGAGGCTACTGAGCTAGGGCGGTGCTCGGTCACAACAACAGCGGCGGCTGGAGATGATACCATTGGTGGTGGCGGATGATGGTATATGATTTAGGGTTAGGGTTTGATCATTGGTGCCCCATCCACCGAGAAATGAAAGGCACGGGTGTAAATCCCGCTCCCAACAAACTTGATAACGAAAATGGCAGAACTGGCCCCTCCCTTCACATTCTCTTCAATTTAACTCCGAAATTAACTTTTTAGCCCATACTTCCATAATTCTCTTCAAATTAAGTCCCAATAGTTACCATGCAGCCACTGCCTTCATAAGAATGTACAAAACCACTCCGGAACTTACACTTTAAACCCCCAACCTCTAAAATTATGACGGTTAACTCCTCGAAATCAACATATAGCTCAATTATTAACGATTTTAGGGCTTCTAATCATATTAACCCTTATCTATTTATTTATTTAATAAACAGGATGTTACAAATCTCCCCCACTTAAATTAGATTTCGTCCTCGAAATCATTCCTTACCATCCCTTATACACCCGACAATTTAAACGGCATGGCCACAAGCCCGAGTATAACCCCAGCCGTTCAATCCAACAAAGTTATCTCAACAAACCACATCATACATGCAACCACTAAGTTCGCTTTACTCCAAGTATTATTACAACCTATCTGTAGTCACACATCATTTACGACCTCTGTTGTCTAACACTCACTAACTCCATGCATGTTGCGGTCCTTCTCAAACCAATCGAACCGACCCTACGAGGTCAAGAACATCATATACTCATCATAACCACTCAAAATGAAATCCATCAGGAATCTAAAATCTCAACTCATCTATCCTCTCAAAATGTAAATTTTTGAGAGGACCATATTGACATATTCTGAAAAGAGGCAACTCTTATTCAGAAGTGATAGTCAAAAGAGAATATAGAAATATTCCTATAGGTGGAAGTCATTCATTAAATCCGTGTAAGATTAGGAAACTTAATGCAAGAAGGATGTTCAAAGCAATGTACTTTGAATTT